TTTTAATAAGCTTTATTGCTGGAAAAATTGTGATGGCAAGGAACTGGAAGAGAGACCATGATTTCATCTTTACTAAAATATGTTCCCAACTAATTTTCCCGTTAAAGATGGAAAATAATTATATTAAATATCTAAACAAAACTTCAGATGTATATGATAAAAGGGAAAAAGAAATGGAAAAAAATGACAAATTCTTACCTCGTATGAAAATATAACAATAGGGAAAAGAAAAGTAAAATAATGAATAAAGGGCTAAAGTAAAGTTAGGGACTTTCGATGACTGACTGGACTGAGATGTTTGTATTTCATGTAAATCATATTGTTTATGCAGCCCTTCCTTTGAAAGGTTGCATATTAAGTAAAGCTCTTCCGCATGTCTGATGTCTTGTGAATGTCTTTTTCACTGTTGTTGATTTTATGTAGTCTTTGAAATAAATGAATAAAAACATATATTTATTTTACAAAAAAATAGAATATCCATCTGTATTATTTTGACAATAGAGTACAGAAACAATCCTAGTATGTTTATATATTTGCCATCTTCGTTGTTTATTTGCTAAAATCCTCTAAAAGCTCTGTATTTGTACACCTGTAACACAAGTGACTACCACCGGGTGTCCTCGGCGTTCCTGGTAAATAAGCAGACATAGTTATTGCAGTTTAACTTTATTGCAATATTTGATTTTACACTTTCCCTTCAGGTTTTCAGTAGTACAAATCAGACTTCGTAAGATCTTCACATTCATTTACTAAAAATACAGAAAAGAAACTATTAAAAAAAAAGAAAAGAAAAAATAAGAGTGAAGGAAGGTCTGCTGGATGTGCGGCAAACTGATCATGTGCTTCTTAGGGAGGGGACAGAAAACATGGCTTTTTTTTTTTTTCCGTATATTAAAACATTAACAGTCTGCCTGTCCCACAGATAGATAGCCATCCGAGCACAGTTCCCAACCCAGTTCCATACACTGGCGCACACACGCAAAGCTAAACATTTAAACGGTGGCTGTACACCGAGGTAAAGCGCCTCTGTGTGGGCAAACTTTAAATTCTTGCCCCTATGTGCATAACGACTGCCTCTCATCATATGGAAATAATTACACACTTTATATGATTTAATTTTTAAATTTTTACATAGACATGCTGCAATTATTACCTGAGCTTCGCGAATGTAAAGAACTATGTATACAGCCCGCACCGACATTGCTTTTATGACCTTAGGGCGACACTGCATATGTTGGCGCATCCGGGTGCTCGTTACTGTTGCACTGAGCATAGCCATATAGAAGCTCTACGTTACTTTTAAGTCTTATCTGGGAACAGAGGCATGAGGAGAGGCACGAGACACACTTCTACGCAGCGATAGCTTCCACCTCAAGCAGCCAGTTATCCTCACGTAATTATACTCCCTCCCAACATTATTTACTCACATTTTTATTCATTTATCCATTTTTTTTAAATTTGTAAAAATTTTTTTTTTTTCACATACAACCCGGCCGCACGTGCATGGACCAAGGTCCCTGGAATCCATGAGAGGACACAGTCAGGGATCTTCACGTAGGGCCCTATCCCTTAGGCCCCCTTATACTTGGGGGCACCACCCCCTTTTTTATTTTTATTTTTTATTTTTTTTATTATTATTTTACCTGGCTCACAGAACTTAACTATCACACAAGCTACTTAAGCCCTGTACCCGCTTTTCCACATATATATGGCTCAATGTACACAGCTGTAATCCAACATATCGAGTTAGTCCTTCGTGCCACCTTTAAAACCTAGCCTGTATAACCCAGCTTGCTTTACATCATAAAAAGCTTGATCATTAATTGTATGTTTAATCCTTGCATGTCGATTTACAATAGGCACCTACCTCTTGTTAGCAACCTGACCTAGAAATGTTTGTTTAGCCTGTTCATTGTATACTCTAAAAATGTGCAGAATTATCGCATGCCATGTACAGAGTCAACTGTCTGTATTACCAGGCTTGTCGTTGCTGTCGTGGCAATACAAGTCAAAATGTATTTTATTGAATGCACAACAAAATAATAAAATAAGTTTTGAATAAAAAAAAAAAAAAAAAATAAAAAAATAATAAATAAAAGTAGATGACAGTAAAAAAAAAAAAAAGAAAACATGGCTGAAAACAGATTTCACAACCCAATCTCCAGCTACATCGAAGAGTGACTGCCATTTCCAGAGACAGGACAGTTACAAGATTTACATAACCGGCAAAATATAGAAATTTAAATAGAATAAAAATAATTTGAAATTAATTTTAGCATGACTAAAAAAAAATATTATTGAGATAATTTTTCAGGAATTTAATTTAATGTACTGTCTGAAAAGTAGTGTTTTGTACAAGTTCTGATCGAAACAAAACCTAGAATTTTAAGGATCACTATAGTGTCAGGAAAACAAACTCATTTTCCTGGTACAATATAATCCTTACGTCCCCCCCACCCTTAGGGCCCCCTCCCTTGGCTCCCTCAGCGCTGGTGACCTCTCCTCCCCCGCCGACGTCAGCTCCCGAGTGGAGCGGAATGCGCATTTCTCAATGCTTTCCTGTGGACGTTCTGCACGCTGAATGCGATTTTCGCTTCCAGCGTCGCAGAAGTGCCTCTAGCGGCTGTCAGGAAGACAGCCACTAGAGGCTGGATTAACCCTACAATGTAAACATAGCAGTTTCTCTGGGGGACCTGGCACCCAGACCACTTCATTGAGATGAACTATAGTGTCCCTTTAAGCTACATGTCTGTTCAACTATATTGTACCTGTTTTATACTAAGTGTACCCACACTTATTACATATCATTTTGGGAGAAACATGGCTTTCATTTCACATCAAATATATATATATATATATATATATATATATATATATGAAACATAATTTAATATTAATAAAATGTGTGAAACAATTTGAGAAATTAAGAAACATTTTAATATTTTCTTAGTTCTGCATGGCATTTTACCTGTGAATGTCATAATATTGTTAGCCTTCACTGTAATAAAATACACATATTTGTGTTCAGTGATGTCTCACGAGTACAACAGTACCCCCTCCCCCCATCCAGTTGTCAGGCAGGACCCTCAAATTGTAATTTATAAAATCACATAATTATGTGAAAATATTATGTAAATATACACCTAGAATTTAAATATATACATAAAATCTAATTCTAAGTGTATTTTAATACCAATAATAATATATAATTATATATATTTTTAAGCCCATTTAGTGCAGGGCAGCACAGAACAACATAAAGGCGTTAGTGGTTAATGCCACACTGGTTGGCCAGATGGTCACCCCAATAGAACCATTTGCATGGTATAATTTGTATGGTTTTCCTAGGCCAGTGGTGACTAAACCAGTCACTATAGATTTGTATGGTTTGAATTTTGCATGACACTCAGCCAGTATAACAGCTGCAGAATAACTAACGGTTCAGGCAATCCGGGATAACAAAAAATAGCATAACTTGGAAGGGAGGCCTGGCCAGCCCTGGCTTCAGAGCACCTGGGTTACTTGGTGAGTGCGGCATCCAGTATGTCTCTAGTATAAAAGCTGCAGACATGGTCAGTGTCCAGGTTAATCAGTGCCGCCCTGAGTGTTAGTACTTTTTGCTGAGTCAATACAAGTGGCAAGGCAAATGTTATCAGGCACAGACAGTATAGGAGGGCCACTAACCTCCCCCTGAATTTATCACCAGACCGAATAAAAGCAACTCAACCTTTGTGTAGCCAAAGTAAAATGTCATGTGCTGGAACAGGCAGAAAATAATGTTATGAGCACTATATAACAAGGAGTCACCACTGCTATAGACATCATCGCATCATCTGTTACCTCTCCTTCCTTCAACCAGATCTGCTGAACCCAGCTCTGAAAGAAACATTAACAATCTGACAGACAGACACGCTGGGAGAGAGTGAGAGGAAAACACAGACATCGAGAGACAGCCATGCTGGGAGAGAGTGAGAGTAAAACACAGACACTGAGAGCCAGCCACGCTGGGAGAGTACAACACAGATTTTCTGCGAGACAGCCACACTGAAAGGGAGAGATGGAAAACACAGACACTGATACATACAGGGACATGCAGACATATAAAAAGTGAGATACACCAACAGAGGAGGAGAATCTTTAGGTCATGTTATAATTGTCTAGTAGTTTTAAAACTGTGATTTGGGTCTACATCTTCTCTTATAAAAAGTACCGCTCGATTAGAGATTTTTTTACCTTCCCATTTAAAGGAATATTATAATGTCAGGAATTCAAAGCTGTATTTTTAGTACTATAGCGGCCCCTCCCCACCACCTGCTGCTTAACCTTATCGCAGTTAGGCAGAAAGGCTCATGCCAAGTTTTCTATACACCAAATCCACTTCATTAAAGGGACACTATAGGGACCCAGACCACTTCATTTAAGTGGTCTGGGTGCAGTGTCCTTATTGCACTTAGTGCATGGCATGCAGCAATCCGTATCTCCTCACAGAGATGCATTTAAAAATCAATTCATCTCTATGGGGAGTGTTCAGCGCCTTCATGCAGAGCTTGGAGACACTGAACGCAGGTACTGCACACTACGCAGCACCGGAGTAGTGTTGGCCGTCTGGGTGACTGCTACTAGAGGTGTTCATAGGCAGCAATATAAACACTGCCGTTTCTCTGAAAAGGCAGCGTTTACAGCGCTCAGCATTCAGCATACAGGTATCCCAGAACCACCGCGTTAAACTGTATTGGTTCAGGTGACCATAGCGTCCTTTTAATAAGATATCTTATCGCCCCTTTTGATTGTCTTAACTGCTTTAATGTTTCTTATTTCCAATGTTTACCCTTTGTGTGTCTTACATCCCCCTCTAGGTGTCTTTTTCTTCCCTAAGCCCCACTGTGTGTCTCATTCCCCCTCCCCCCCCAGCATGGCTCTCCTGTATGGAGAGGAGGGCTAACAGGTGCTGGTGGGCGTGGCTTCCAGCGTCACGTGACCGCAGCGCTCATCAGGCACATGGCGTCAGCAGATGGCGCTCGGCGGAAGTGACGTCGCGTAACCGGACGGGGGGGGGGTCGAGGCGGGAGAGCGGAAGCCTGTGCGCTGCAGGAAATAGTGACCGGAGCGCGGGCTGGGAGTAACACTACCGTGTGTGTGATAGCGGCAGGACGTGTGGGCGGGTGAGTGCGCTAATTATCTATACACCGACCGTGTGAGAGAGAGAGACAGACACTCACTAACTACATAATAATAATAATAATAATAATAATGTATAACAGAAACCGCCCGGGAAATTATTAATTCAATACACTGATAATAATAACATGGGAGGGAAGGAGGGAAAAGGGACCAGGTACATGATTGATTTATATATATATATATCATAATAAAAGTAATATCAATACAAATTAATATATATAAAACAAAGTAAAAATAATATATTGATACAAATTAATATATATAAAACATAATAAAAATAATACAGCAATACAAATTAATATATATCATAATAAAAATAATATATCAATACAAATATATATAAAACATAAAAATAATACAGCAATACAAATTATATATCATAATAAAAAACAGCAATACAAATTAATATATATCATAATAAAAATAATATATCAATACAAATTAATATATAAAACATAAAAATAATACAGCAATACAAATTAATATATATCATAATAAAAATAATACAGCAATACAAATTAATATATATCATAATAAAAATAATATTAATAAAAAAATATATATATATATCATAATAAAAATAATATTAATAAAAAAATATATATATATATCATAATAAAAATAATATTAATAAAAAAATATATATATATATCATAATAAAAATAATATATCAATACAAATATATATAAAACATAAAAATAATACAGCAATACAAATTAATATATATAAAACATAAAAATAATACAGCAATACAAATTAATATATATCATAATAAAAATAATACAGCAATACAAATTAATATATATCATAATAAAAATAATATTAATAAATATATATATATATATCATAATAAAAATAATATATCAATACAAATTAACCCATTAAGGACTGAGCCAAATGTACACGTTGTGAACAAAACAAAATGTAAACAAAACCTGGCATTTGCGCTACATGCAGTGGCGTACATACCAGGTTCGCCCCTGCGTCCCGGTATGTACCCACAGGGCCAGCCTCTTCCCCTGGGGGGCCCAGGAGCCGACCACCCCAGGGCCCCCCGAGGCTGGCCCTGCTGACCCCTGCTGACTGGCCGGTCGGGCAGGCAGGCGAGGGCGCGCGAGGGAGCACTCAGTGCTTCCTCTTCAGCTCCCTCGCGCACCGCACTGATGCCGGAGCCGGAAGATGACGTCATCTTCCGGCGCCGGCATCCCTACGCGGCGCGCGAGGGAGCTGAAGAGGGAGCACACAAGGGAAAGTGCTCCCTCGCGTGCCGGCCAGGCAGCCCGCCCACCCAGTGACCAGGAGCCCAGCAGCAGCACCACTGGACCCCAGGGAATCCCCCCAGCACTCCAAAAGGTAAGGAGGCTGGGGGGATTAAATTTGAAGAAAAAAAATGTGTGTGTGTTAGAGTGTGTGTGTCAGAGTGTTAGTGCGTGTGTCTGTTACTGTGCGTGTGTCTGTTACTGTGCGTGTCTGTTACTGTGCGTGTCTGTTACTGTGCGTGTCTGTTACTGTGCGTGTCTGTTACTGTGCGTGTCTGTTACTGTGCGTGTCTGTTACTGTGCGTGTCTGTTACTGTGCGTGTCTGTTACTGTGCGTGTCTGATGTCTGTTAGTGAGTGTGTGTTTTGTAAGTGAGTATGTATGTCTGTCGCTGAGTGTGTCTCTGTCAGTAAATGTGTGTGTCTGTTAGCTAGTGTGTATGCGTCTGTTCGTGAGAGTGTGTGTGTGTGTCTTCAGCATTTACCTTTCTCCAGCGTCGGACTCCCCAGTGTCCGCCACTCAGCTCCGAAATGTACATGCGCGGCAAGAGGCGCGCTCGCGCATTTAAACCGCCCATAGGAAAGCATTACTCAATGCTTTCCTATGGACGTTCACTGTCTTCTCACTGTGATTTTCACAGTGAGAGTCGCGGAAGCTCCTCTAGCAGCTGTCAATGAGACAGACACCAGAGGCTGGATTAACCCTCAGTGAAACATGTTTTCAGCTGCAGGGTTAAAACTAGAGGGACCTGGCACCCAGACTACTTCATTGAGCTGATGTGATCTGGGTGTCTGTAGCGGTCCTTTAAGTGTGTGTGCATACCGCTGTCGCATGGTCGCAGCCCTGCGACCAGGTGCCCGCCATCATGTGTTGCGACCCCGACCCGCGCCGAGTAAGCGCGCGCGCGGGGGGGGGCCCACGGATCAATTTTTGCACCGGGGCCCCATGGGTCATGTGTACGCCACTGGCTACATGTCCAACCGTAATTCACCTCTTTCATATTAATTGCACCCACCCTTATTATATATCATTTTATTCAGGGGAAACAGGGCTTTCATTT